GGTTCAATGACCAGTACTACTAAGAAAAAAAAAAAAAGTCATTTATTTTATAAAGTCAAATACTTTTTTGTTTATTTATTGGGTAGTGCTGGGAATAGAACCTAGGGCCTCAAAAATAGTAGGCAAGCACTCTACCAATGCACTACACCCTCAACCCCAAAGTACTATTATTACCACAGAAATCCTGAAGTTCTTCACCCATATCTAAGTCCCTTAAGACATCAGTTAAGCCCACTGTTCACACTATAAGAAACAAATTTGAGTGATATTATCATTCATGTCATTTAAATAACTGCGACTATTAAAAAAATGCAAAAGTATACATAAAACAAAGAAAAAGAACACAAATCTTTAAATTCAATTATTTACTCATCCATATAAAATGTTTGACTTATTCACATTATCCTTAGAGCTGGCTAAAATGAAAGACAGCTGTCTCAACTTATCACACACAGTTGGTTGCCCACAAGTGAAAGAGCTTATGGGAGTATTTCAATTATATATTTGAAAAATCTGTATCTAGGACTATGTGTACATGAATAGTTTGGGAGGTAATGGTGGGAATGCAGAAGTTTAAACATGTAATACTCTACTAGACTAGAGGGATACGTTGGGGGATTTTCCCCCCCTTTTGGGTTTAAAATTGTTCTAAGTACTAACCAGGTGTGGTAGCCATGCCTATAATCCCAGCACTCGGGAGGCTGAGGCAGAAGGATCATAGGTTTGAGGCCAGTCTCAGCAACTTAGCAAGGACCTATGCAACCTAGGAAGACCCTGTTTCAAAATAAAAAATAAACAGTGCTGGGGATGTAGCTCAGGGATTAAGCACTCCGGGTACAATCCCAAGTACCCAAAACACACACACACTCTCACTCTCTCTCTCTCACACACACACACACACATACAAAGTTGTTATAAATAGTTAAACACATGCACTGGATTTCTGAGGTCTCCAGATGGTATCAGGGAGGACTGATCATAAAATATATGCTCTGGGTATTTCTTGGCAGCTGATAGCCACTGGATGTCCAGATGGGACAGACCTTTCTTCCCTGCCTCTCTGTACTCAGGCTCAGGAAGGGAAAATGTAAAGGAAAGAACAAGAAAGGAGTCAGAAGTCAACTGCCCAACTGTACTGGTCTACCCAGGACCAAAGGGATTATCAAAATGTGTGACTTTCAGTGCTGGGAGAGTCCCAGGCAAACTGGGACAAGTTGGTCACTCTGTCCTGAAGGTTGTTGTCTGTGATGCCCTGGAGCTTAAAGAAATGAAGCAAACCTTTTGATGTTGTTGTTGAAGTTCAGAACCTGGGGGTGGGAAAGAATGGAGGGGTAATTTGGAAGAGAATAAGGTGACCATGACACTTTTTGAAAATTTAAGCATCCACCTTCCTTTGGCCTACAAAAAAGTTACCATAGCTGAATTATACAATCTGATTTTGAGTTTCACGAAAAAGAAATGGAAAATAATTCTGCCAGATACACATATTTTTAAAGACTAAGCTCAAACAGGATACGGGGTGGGGGGGGGGGGAAGAAGATTACCTGTCAAATAAGAGAAAAGCATTTAACCTCATAGAGTGGGTGGAATACTAACACAGTGAGCAATTTTATAAATTGGGCACTTCAGCTTTTAAAGACATATAATACTTCTTATAATTTCTAAATTGAGTCACCTGTCCATCCATGAAGTTTGACTTATATGCATTTTTCTTAGAGTTGTTTAAACTGAAAGATTGTTGCCCACCAGTGAGAGAACTAGAACACAGGCAGGGGTCTAAAAGATGCCTGCAATTTTATATCACATGTACCTAAGTCACCTTTAAGGGTTTATGTTTGAGGCACTATGCTCGGCACAAATGGACATTTCTGTGTCCATGCATATTAGGCAAGCACACTACTACTAAGTTATACCCTTAGCCCATGCATACAGTTTTTACTCTTAAGCAACCCACAGCATCAAAATGAGGCACAAATGGACATGTTTTTCTTTTAAAAGATTCAGACTCAAAACAAGATATACAATGAATTGCCTTAATAACAATGTCAGGGAAATTCTATGGGATCTCAGGTGAGGTGGCCAGGCTCTACAATCAACCTGACCTTAATCTGGTCCCTTTTCTCCAGGACCTAATTTCACGTCTTATCTCCCTCCTGAATTTTCAACTATCTCCAATTATAGTACTCTATTTTTAACAAATGCAATCATTCATTCAAGTCTATTCTGTGCACCACCACCACCACCATCCCACCCAAATAAAACTTGTCTTAATGCTATGCTTTAGGGTTGCCAGATTTAACAAATAAAAACTGTTCACTTAAACCTGAACTTCAGCCGGGAATGGTGGCACACACCTATAATCCCAGCAACATGGGAGACTGAGGCAGGAGGATCCCAAATTCAAGGTCAGCCTTAGCAATTCAGCAATTCTGTATCTCAAAATAAAAAGGACTAGAGATGGGGGCTGGGATTGTGGCTCAGCAGTAGAGCGCTTGCCTAGCACAGGCAGGACCCAGGTTTGATCCTCAGCACCAAATAAAAATAAAGGCATTGTGTTGTATCCATCTACACCTAAAAAAATAAATATTTAAAAAAAAAAAAAAAAGGACTAGGGATGTAGCTCAGTGGTAAAGCATCCATGGATTCAATCCTCAGACACTCCCTGTTCACACACACATATACACACACACAAGAAAAAGCCCAAACTTCAGCAAAACAATGAATTATTTTAAGTATAAGAAATGTCCCACCCAGTGCAGAGACACACACCTGTAATCCCAGCTACTCAGGAAGCTGAGGTAGGAGGATCACAAGCTCAAGGCCAGCCTGGGCAACCTAGCAAGAACCTGTCTCAAAATAGAAAAATAACAAGTACTGGGGATATAGTTTAGTGATAGAGAATCTGAGAGTCTGAACTCAACCCGCAGTACTTCAAGGAGAAAGAGAGTGAGTGAGAGAGAGTGAGTGAGTGAGTGAGTGAGTGAGAGAGAGAGAAATATCACATGTACTATTTGGGTCACACACTAAAATAATTTATTAGAGACTCAGAAAAGTAGGAACAAAAAATAAAAGGAACTCCCTCAACATTATAAAGGGTTTATGAAAAAACGCACAACTAACATCATAATTGGTAAAAATTGGAGCTGGGGATATGGCTCAAGTAGTAGCACACTCGCCTGGCATGCCTCAGCACTACATAAAAAATAAAATAAAGATACTGTGTCCACCTAAAGCTAAAAAATAAATATTAAAAAAAATAATTCGTGAAAGATTGAAAACATTCAAGGAACAATACAAGATATCTACTTTCACCAATTCTATTCTTTATCTTACTAGAAGTTCCTGCCAAAGCAATCAGGCAAGAAAAAGAAATCCAAAGTGAAAAGAGAAACATAAAGCTATCTCTATGTTCAGACAACATGAGCTGATATACAGAAAATTCTAAAGGATCCAAACAATAACAACAACAACAACAACAAAAAACAATGTGAGCTAATAACTGAATGAAGCAAAATAGCATGTTTGACAGATCATGATCAAAGGCCAATGGAGCTGGGTATGAGGGCATGCCTATGATCCAACTACTTGGGAAGGTGAAATAGGAGCATCCCAAGTTTGAGGCCAGCCTCAGTAACTGAGGCCCCTTCTCAAAAATAACAAGGGCTGGGGATATAGCTCAGTGGTAAAATGCCCCTGGGTTGAATCATCAATATGGAAAAAAAAAATGAAAAAAAGACTGAAGTGATGTTGGACAGAGTGAGAAATCTTCTCTGAAGAGTGACCTTTGAGAGACCTTAACAATAGGAGGAAGGATCCCCTCTTTCTTTTGCAGTGTGGGGGAATCAAACCTCATACATGGAAGGCAAGCAATCTACCACTGAACTACATCTGTAGTCCAGAGTGATCCCTTTCGAAAGAAATTTTCACAGACCCCAAGTGTTTACTAAAATTACTTATATTGTTATTTACACAGAAAATCTCTATGTTGGTGACTCTAGTATAAGCAAAAAGGAATCAACAAAACCTGTCTATGGGACTACCTGATTTGAAAGGTAACTCATTTTCTTCCCATCTGGGCTACTTGCCATGAAAAACATTCATCAGATTTGGGAACTACTGGCCTCTTAGGCTCTTATATAATTCTACTTTTCTAGATCCAATTTTAAGAAGAAAATATGGGAAGCCTGGAGAGAAGAGTTTATGCAAGAAGTGTAGAAATGTGGAATAGGGAGCTAAGAAGAAGATATTAATTCCAATTCTGAAATTGGAAGAACAAGCAACTAAAGATAACCAATCAAATCTAAAACAAAAATGAGAACTTTCATTTTAGACTGTGAAGAACACACACAGAGGTAAAGTCCTGAAATGTAAGTAAAGCTGTGATTCTTCTTTAAAACAAAGAATATGATAACTACTTTTATAAAAATTGGCTTTAGACAATACCTAAATTTTTATTCTAAAAGCTTAAAATAATTGAGACATAAGGCTAGTAAACAAAGTGCAACAGGAGGGCTGGGGTTGTGGCTGAGATGTAGAGCACTCGCCAGGCATGCTTGAGGCACTGGGTTCAATCCTGTGCACCATACAAAAATAAAATAAAGGTATTGTGTCCACCTACAACTAAAAAATATATTAAAAAAAAAAAAAAAGAAAGAAGGAAATAAAAACTGTAATAGGAATTACTAGACCATGGACATTTTAAGATGTTTATTACTTACTAAGAGTAATATGCACAAATTAGCAATAACTTATTACTGCTACAGGTCACAATTAATTCACAGTTAACATATATTAGCTTCAATCTGTAACAAATAACACCATGATTAATTCTCTTCAACAGATGATTTTATTACTAAATTTACATTCTGGCTTTTATAATTATTTTGCTGTATAAATTAAGTATGATTTTATTCAAAATGCTCGGGACCAGGCTGGGCACAGTGGCGCACACCCGTATTCCCAGTGGCTGGGGAGGCTGAGGCAGGAAAATAGCAAGTTTAAAGCTAGCCTCATCAACTTAGAGAGGTCCTAAGCAACTTAGCAAGACCCTGTCTCAAAACAACAACAACAAAAAGGGTCGGAATGTGGCGCCTCTGGCTCAGTTCCTAGTTAAAAAAAAAAAAAAGCTTGAGACAAGAAAGACTTTGAGTTGCTTCATGCTTCAGATTAAGAAATATCTGCATAGACTACCATTTGAATATCCCTAATCCAAAAGTCTAAAATCCAAAGTGAATGTCATGGTGGTACTCAAAAGTTCCAGATTCTGGAACGTTTTTGATTTTCAAATTAGGGATGCTCAACCTGTACACCAACAGTTTAGAGTAAAAATACCCATGAAAGCCCTTTAGAGAACAGAAGTGAACACTTTCTCATGGAGGAAAGCCAGCTTCTCTAAGCGCGTTCGTTTTAGTAGTGGGAGCCATTCCCAGTAGGATAATTCTACCACATGGTACCCAAGCCGAACCAGCTGCCGCCTCTTCATATTGTGCAGTCCAAGCAGATCCCTGGAACCATAGCAATATTGGTTCCTGTTCGTCAACTGAATAGCCAGCTTCACTGGTGGGGCCTGCACATGGGCTGAGGGATGCAGGCCAGCCATCTCCACAGCTCCCAATCTACCTGCCATATTGGAAAGGAAGTTCCCCAAGGATTCTTTCTCTGACTTTACAGGCTGCTGCAAAGTCTCTGACTCATTGTTCCCCTGGAAATGCCCTCTTGCTTGCCCTTTCAGCAACTGATTCATCAAATTATCTGTAAGGCTGACTCCTACATGCTTAAACCTTAATTTGGCTACATCGTCAGCTGGTATGGCTTCTTTATTAAATGGTAATGGCTTCATGTTAATGTCAAGCTGGACCTCTAAGTCAGAAGACCGAGTATGAGGCAAAATCATATGGTGCTTGATGTACTGGGGGCCGCCCAACATGGTCTCAAGTAAAGAGAGAGCTTCTAGGAATTCAGGCTTTGAGTTCATATCTTTCCTTGCTAAATTCCAAAGCTTAGCAGATGCCTCTTGCTGAAGGTAAGAACTAAGACGACTGCCTCTATAATCTGGACACTCAACACCAACTGTACCATCAAGAGTATACAGTTCCTTGGTGAGTTCAAATTTACTTCTCTCCTGAGCTAGCTTGACAAACCCTGGACTCAAAGCAAAATCAATAAGCTCCATTAGAAAGTACTCCGAAAATGCCAGACCCAGCAGGCAGGTGAGCAGGTGTTCTGGATATTGGTTGAATTCAGGCATCTTTCTGTGAATTTCGTTGATCAGGCTAGAATAAAATTCTTCTGTGTTGGGTGGCTTATAATTCAGAGTTCCAAATGACCATAGAATTTTGGCAATATCTTTACTGCGACAGTGCACTACTCTAGGAGGCAAAGAAGCAGCCACAGCATTCATTACTCCTTCATCCAGAAAGTGTAAAGCTGAGCAGGCAAGAGTCAGGTGCATAACACCCTGAACCCCCAGGGAAGGAATTCGCTGAGGAGCTATCTCTCCAAAGCGCTTCATGAAATTTACATGATCCACATGAGTGAATCTGAACATTTTAAGAATATGCACTAAGGCATGACTACTCAAATGCTCCATGTCAGCACAAGCCAAATCTCCAAGTTTCCGCATTACAAATTCAGAGAGACTACTACTTGACTTAAAGAATCCCAAACAGATTGTACCAACCTCCTCTAAGTTGATCAAATCTATATACTTAAGGATCAATGATTCCAGTTTTTGCATTAGGTCCTGAGGCACCTGTCGACTTTCACCTATAATATAAATTAAGTGAATCAGCTGGGACAAGGATAGATCTTTCCAGTGCAAATTAAGGTAACTAAAAAAAATTTTTAAAAACTGAGGTACTCTGAGACCTAAGCACCGCCAGAGATCAGCCACCAAGAGAAGCTGATTCAGACTCATCTCCCATACCTGTTGACAAAACCTGGTTTTATACACATCTAGCATTGAATGAGAGTGAGGAATTCCTAAACTAACAAAGGCTTTCAAAATACTGATTAGATCTGGAATATCAAAGACTTGTATATTTTTCACACTCAATTGGCAGAGCAGAGCAAAGCTGGTACTTGTCAGCAAAACAGGATGCTGTTCTGTAGGCAAAGAGCTCAGCTTACAAAAATAATCAGCAATGATTTGAGGTTGAAGGTTACTTTGATAAACTGTGACTTTGTGCAAAATTAGTTCACCTTCTGAAACAGAGAGGGGCTGACAAGTCTCAGATCTGTTATAGCTGTGAAGCTGGTATTCTGGCCTTAGCTGTAGGAAAACTCGGGTGCCTTCAAAGGAATCAAAAACTTCTACATCCTCTTCATCAATTTTCATAGTCCTGGGTGAGTCCAGCTGCAACTTCCTGGCTTTAGAGGTAGAAGCTTTGCTGAATTCCAAACCCAGAAAGGCACTGCTGATTGTGAAGACCCTCTGAGAAAAGGTGGCGCTACCAACGTTCTTAACTTTTCTGGCAGGATGGCAGGAACTACTACGCTCAGGAGGGGCCTGTCCCCTATGCCGTATATTGCTTCCCATATTCCAATATGCCACACTTTGGGTGGCACTGTAGGCAAAAGAATCGCGAAATGCTTGATATTTTAAAGGTTTTAATAATTTGAGAGTAGCTGCCATTCTGATGTCAGTACTGATCTTTTTGGCAGTCAGAGCACAGTCCTCACAGGTTTGACCAAACAATTTCTTGTTTATATGATGCTTGATTAGAGCTTGATGGGGAGATGTTCCACAGAAACTGCCTGGAATCTTCGGCATATCACAAGAGTCACGGATCACAAATGACTCAGCCCGAATTGGTGCCAGATACTGAAAAAAGGGTAGATGAAGAATGAGTGGCTTCCACCTATCACATACCCAAAATTTATACATTATAAGAAATAGAGTCAAACCACACTGTTATCCACTCAAGTTAGTCTACTGCTAATGAATGCCCAAACGACAAAACAGAATGTTATCAAAGATAAACTGTGTACCTTGTATAAAGGCACAGAAAAACCCCAAACCCAGGGTACCCACAGAGTAGTTCCTAGACTGCTGTTCAGTCCACACTTTCTTCCTTTCAGAAGAGAAGCAGTGACAACTAGAGAAGACAGGTGCTCTACTAATACTCAATAGAAAGCTGGGAGTGAAAGTAAGCAATCATTCCATCTCTTTAATATCAACACAGAAAGATCACACTTGGAGAACAGAAAGTTTATAAAAACTGCCATGCATAAAGGAAAAAGTGGGATTTGGTATAAGATTTAACTTATACACAAAATAACACTCCCAATTCTTATAATACAAACTTTTAATTACAAAATTCTGTTATTCTAACACTATGCCTATACCTTTCAGAAGATGGTGACTGTTATCTCCAGAAGGATATTTTTAGTTCTAGAGCCTGAATCAAGGAGTACTCTACCACTGTGCTGTGCTACATCTCCAGCCCTTTTTGAGACAGGGTCTCACTACTTTGTTCAGGCTGGCTTCAAACCTTCAATCCATGGGCCACTGTGCTAAGCACCAGGGGGCTTGTAAGAGAATCTGAATCACTAGTGCAAAGTAGTTGTTCAACCAGGAAGTATGTTCAGAAATTCATGTTGAGCTAGGAGTGATTCAGTGGCAGAGCACTTCCCTAACTGTGAGGCCCTGGGTTCATTTCCCAGTACTATTAAAAAAGAAAAAAAATGAAGGAAAAGAAGGAAGGAAGGAAACTAGCTCACTTGTGCTCATGGAGTAAAGCAGAAGACCAAGGCGCTTTCTGTCAATTCAGAGGTGAACTCTAAGCAGGGCTTAGAGTTCAGGGAACATCATTTTACCATACTACCTGGCTACCATGTGGGGGAGCAGTGCAGCTTTCCTATGATGAAGGCAGATTAGCAACGCTTCTACTGAGACAAGTACTGAATCAAGTGCTGATTATATCCTTACTCTGCCTGTAAACAGTACAATTTTCATTTTTCTCCCATGGCAGAAATCATAGAGGCTATGAAACTGACTCTGCCATACTCTTGCATTCCTTAATAGTTATTCTTTCTTTCCACTTAGGTGTCAAAGCCTAATAAGCAAAAACTGAGATCTGAGCTGCCAACTCATGGAGCACGTAAGGCTATTCCACAAGGGTTGCAGAAAATTCCACAAGGGCTCTCAGGGGGTCAGAATGACTTTCTGAAATGTCTGCCCAATTCTGCTGTCAGGTCCTTTCTTCCAGAGCCCATAGCATAAGAACCACAACTATAAGGCAGGCCAGTGGCTATTCTGGTAGGCAAACTACACAGGCTTCTCTTGGTGGCAGAAATGTATTTAATTTCTTTCTTTGTGAACTATAGCAGAAATCTTTCACAGTACATCTTTATACAATTGGCTGCTGTTTTATTGGTTTGGGCTTTGTTTTGTTGTTGTTGTTTGCAGTACTATGGCTTCTTCAAGCAGAATTTGGGACTTCAAGAGGTAGATTGCCAAATCTGAATCTATAGCATCTGACTCTAGGTTGAATCTTGGTAGGCAAAAATGGTCCATAGGTGCTGGGGTGGTGGCGCATGCCTATAATCCCAGAAACTCAGGAGGCTGAGGCAGGAGGATCATGAGTTCAAAGCCCGCCTCGGCAACTAAGAGCAGCCTTAAGCAACTTAGCAAGACCCTGTCTCAAAAAATAAAAAGGATTGGGGATGTAGCTCAGTGATAAAGCACACGCTTAGCATGCGTGAGGAATTGAGTTCAATCTCCAGCACCACCAGGAAAAAAAAAAAAAGAGGATTTATATGCCTTAAAATAGTCACTAAGAATCTCAACAAGGTAGCACAGGCATGAAGGAAATAAAAGACAAAACAGGTAATAGAACGCTCTAGTTGACAGAACAGGGCCTTTAAGAAAACCTGCTTGAGACCTGGAATTTAAATTTAGTCCAACACAGTATGAAACTAAAAGTTATACACATTAAATCTATAGTCCTTCATCTCATCTGAATTCTTCAGAGATCCTTCATAGACATAACTTAAAAAAAAAAAAAAAAAAAAAAAAAATCTTTCTTTTTTTTATTTTTAACAAAATATCCATATAAAAACTGAAAACAAGTCAAATGTCCAAAATGTCCATCCAGTAGGAAGAGGCTGGTTTGCATGGTATGTTTGTGACAGACTCAAGTGCACACAAATATTCAACAGAGTGAATAGTTCATTTTACACAAATGAGTGCCATCACCTAAAACAGTCTTTTTTCCCAGTATTAGGGCACTTTACCCCAGCCCTTTTAGTGTTTTTTGTTGTTGTTGTTTTTAGATAGGATCTTGTTAAATTGCCAAGCCTGGCCCCAAACTTGCAATCCTCTTTCCTCAGCCTCCTGAGTCACTGGAATTACAGGTATATGCCACTGTATGTGGCTTCATCTCCTTTTTTTTTTTTTTTTAATATTTTTTTAGATGTTGCTAGACATTTATTTTATTCATTTATTTATATGTAGTGCTGAGAATCGAACCCAGTGCCTCAGACATGCTAGGCAAGAGCTCTACCACTGAGCTACAACCCCAGCCCCTCATCTCTTCTTTAGGAGTCATACTGAATTAGAGTGGATCGTTAGAGACCCTTAGACCCTGACATTTCCAAAAGGCACTGCCCAAACCACCCTGAATGATGTGATTTTACAAAGTTGAGGAATCTTACCTTTCCATCTTCCAGGTACAAGTCTGAGCAAGGCCAAAGAGCTTCATTTTAAACTATGGTCGAGAAGTTAGAAAAAGGGAGCCAGGTAGAAGAAGGCAGCCAAGCTAACTGTAGATTAAATATATGACACTCTCAGCATATACAGTTTACCAGTTGCCAGATCTCACCCCTCAGTTCTCATTATTTTTTTTAAATATATTTTTTTAAATTGTAGTTGAACACAATACCTTTATTTTATTTATTTATTTTTATGTGGTGCTGAGGATCAAAGCCAGCACCTCACATGTGCTAGGCGAGCATCATACTGCTGAGCCACAACCCCAGTCCATCAATTCTCATTCTTTTCCTAGAAAGGAAAAGATCTTCCTAAGTACCAATAAAATCACCATAAATAATGAATACTCCAATGCCACCATCATCACCTTTAAAAAAAATTTTTTTCCCCTAATGCTAGGAATTGAATCCAGGGCTTCACGCATGCTAGAGACATATTCTGCCACTGAGCTACATTCCCAGCCACCAACCCCATTTTTGTCTCAGCAAATAATTTGTTGAGCAACCAAAAAGCAAAGAATTAACTTTCTCTAGGTGAATCCTACTGCTGAGAGCCTCCAAAGCTTTAAAAGCTCCCAGTCAGGGCTTACAGGTAGACAGTAAAGACACTCAGCTGTTAAGGAGGATATTAACTGAGCCAGACTTTTCTGCACTTCTGTTTTCGTACAGGAGCAAGGCCTACAAGAGAAGGGTCTACTAGTACAAAGAAGGTTAAGAGTTAGTGCGAAGAAGGTGTCTAGGTTAAGGTTAAGTATCATCCACTAAGATAAGCCAAATCAAAATCAAGTCTAGCAACACATCCCCTCCTTTTTGTTCTAGTGCTTATAGGAGAGACATTAGCACATCAAATCATCTGTGAAACCTTTTTGCCCTTTATAGCCCTCCCTGGCCTTCTAAGATACCACTACTCTTCTATCAGAATGGCAAGAAGGGTGTGGGTAGAGATAGTCTGACAAAGCTGCAGATGATCTTGTCAGAGTCACTTCTTTCAAAGAATTTCATAAGACAATATTTTTAGAAAATCTCTCCTCATGTAAGTGGAATAAAAGTTTTATGAATGGACTTAAAAAAAAAAAAAGAAAGAAAGAAAGAAAAGAAATCTCTCCATATAACAACAGAGAACAGACATTTGTGTCCACCAGAGAAAAGATGAAATCAAGGCATGTAAAAAGAAGTACCCACAAAGTCATGAAAGAAAATTCCCAAGTAAATGGTCTGAGTACCTATTACTGTTAGTGCATGCTTGGTCTTACCTGGTTTTCCAATTTGCAATGTTTTGCTTATGCTTTTTAGTCAGGCAAATGAGGAACTTCAAAATTCTTTTATATCAAACTTGACTTATTTACATGATGAATGGCAAGGCCTTGTTAGAGATCAGGAAAAAAAAAAAAAACACTAAACAGAAAAGAAAACCACACAGACAAACGAATATCAGTCTTGCATTATTCAGGACACTCTCTCAGCTGTATGATACAGCAGTGTTTTCATATTTTATTTTGGTCCACCAGGCAGGAGTAAATCATTCACGGGATTGCTCAAGGCCATTCAGGGCTATTAAGCACAAAGCCAGCTGTTACTACTTAACAGTGTGTCCAAACTGCAGAAAACATGACTGGAGCACAAAAACACCAGCCATTGTTGATACTAAAGCATTGAGCTATGATCTCCACAGGATGAAACACTGCCAATCGGTCTACACTGAGTAAGCAATGAAGTGCCACTTGAGAAGCCCAAGGTTTGCACCTGGTATACGGGCACCTGCTCAGTCAGATCAGAGAAGCTTTGTCATGATATGCACAAAAAAAGATCAATTATTTCCTGTCCCTGGAGAGAAAAGAGGGAGGGACAATAATACTACTCTGAATTAGGCTTGCACAGCCAGAAACTCTCTGCTAAAATGGGAAAAAGGCATATATCAAACTGGTACTTACTTAAGACTCACCCCACCCCAATCAAGTTCTAAGCAAAATACTCTAAGGCCTGGCTGATCGAAGCGTGGTCTGCTGGAAGCTGGTTAGAAACAGAATTTCAGGTCCCACCCCGAACCTGCTATCTCCAAGTGAGAATGAGAGGCACGCCAGAAGGTCTCACTACATTCTCACAACAGCTCTGGGAGGCACGTACTGTTGGGATCTCCATTTCACCGGGGAGAGGGGAAGCAAGGTTGCGGTCTCCTGCCCAAGGTCAAAGAACTCCGGAGTGGCGAGGGTCGCCGAGGTTCTCTCCAGAGGAGATCCTCTGAGAGTCGTCCGCGCACTGGCCGGGAAGCGCTGACCAGGGCCTCGACTGACGCAAGCCCTGGGCGGACCTGAAGGGCAGGAGGCACAGCCGAAAGCGAAGTCGGTCGCAGGCACACGGAGCGGCCGCCATGACATCTTCCCGGGCCACCGCCACCACTCACCTGAACCTGGCGAAGGCGGGCAGCGCAACACCAGACTCTGAAGCCCGCCCGCCACAGCAACACACTAACTCCTCCGACTGCACTCGGCCTCACAGACCAACTTCCGGCCAACTGCCTGCTACTTCCGCCTGCTGCGCGAGCGACGGGTGCGGCTGAGGCTCAAAAACCTCTGTCAGCGTTTTCCAAGGACATTTTTCACTGGAGGTTTTTGACGAGGAGAATGAGGGAATCTAAGACCTGCAGAGGGAAAATACTTCCCCGAATGAATCACTCTGGAAGTAATTGAGCAGCATAGTCAGTTTCGACTCTCAGGACCTCGTTCAGGGTTTTATGGCCTTGGGGAATTCACATAAACTCTCTTAGTGTCTCATCTGTACAATGAGGGTAATAGGGCATTTATAATAGAAATGTATCTGCAAAGTGCTCTCAAGAGAAGACTTAGTGATGGAGAGACGAGCTGTTGAAGAGCTAAAACTTGAACCCAGGTGATCTTACACTTCCCTTAATAAGGGTCTCATACCTGAATCGATTTGGGCACAAATCTGAGGCAAGAAAGAAACTCTACAAAGCCTCTACTTGTCAGGAGGGCCTGGCCCCAGACTGCCATTCCTGAGGGCACTTGAGAGCAGCTGATCAGGTTCTTTGTATCTTGTCAGTGCCCGAGCTACTGATTCAGTCATCTTAAGTGCTGTGAAAGAGATCTGAGAAAGCATGCTCCCTCCAGGGCACCAACTTGCAAGGGAGACAAAACAAATGTAGAGAAGACATAGCCTTGCAAGGAGGAGCAAGCATGGCATCCCAACTCCCGAGCTTTGCCTAGGCGTGAACATTTGGGAACTCAGACTACTGGCACCACTGCTTAGGGTGCATTCTTTCAACAGATCAAACCAAGGAAAACTGTTAGCTGCTGATTACAACTCTGGCTTTGCCAGCAGAATCCAAAAAGGAGAGGAAGTCCATCCCCAGGGAGTGATCCATAATTGCTCCAGGGCAATTGTGCCAGTCCCATGCGTCTTTGCCAAAACTCAATTTCCCAGTCTCCCTTAAAGTGGGAGGAGCATGTGACTCATTTCTGGCCAACAAGATTTAAAGGGAAGGGTGTTGACAGTGTTCTGCCAAGACAAAACTAAAGCTTGGGTTTGGGCAGCCACCTTGTGGCAAGGAGGAAACAATAAGTTAGAATGGGAGAGTGGGAAGAAGAAAAGTGTAGGTCCACCATGATGGATGAACCTCCACTTCCACCTGTGATACCCACATCCATACTTCTTGTCTGATGAGAAATAAAAAAACCACTTATTGAAGTCCTGTAAGTCAGGTTGTATTACATATAACAAAATGCACTCCTTTTCTTTTTTTTTTTTTTCAATAATATGGGGATTAAACCAGGACTGCTTTACCACGAATCTACATTCCCAGCCCTTTTAAAAGTTTTTTGTTGTTTTGTTTTGTTTGAGATGGGATCTTGTTAAGTTGCTGAAGCTGGCCTCAGATTTCTGATTCCTGCATCAGCCTCCTGAGTTGCTGGGATTACAGGTATGTGCCACCACGTCTGGCTCAGCAAGATGTATTAATTGTGGGTTCTCTGAGAACAGAAGGAATTATAAAAGGATAGCTTACTGCTATGCCACATGCTTGGGTACCTTTTGCCACTAACTGCAAATCTGTTCTCAGCCTTCAACTTATGTGTGTGTGCACCATGTGTTTCGGGGAATCAAACACCAGGGCTTCATGCATGCTAGGCGAGTGCTCTATCACTGAGCTATACTCCTAGCCTTTTAGCTTTCATTTCTATGCCCTCAACCATCACCAATCACCGTAAGGTGGATCAAGTGACTGAAGGCTACAGCTTGCAACCTGCATTACCTACCTTCTGACCAGCAGCCTGGTGTCCAGAATCTGAAGGCTACTTTGAAACCCTTTATAAATGACAGTCTTAGCTGAAGAGAAAGCCCCACTGGACAAAATCATGGAACTATGACTCCTCTTGGGCAATGTGGAGAAGTCTGGGCTTTGGGCCAACATCCTGGCATGCTCCAGTGAGCAACTCTAGTCTTGTGCCTCCTCCTCTGGGAAATGTTTACTCCAGCTCTGTCCTCCCCATTTCCCCACCCTCCAGGCCTCACCTCCCACACCTGCAGACACAAGTAGGCCACAAGAATGCCATTCAAGAGGCTTTCTCCATTTTATTTCTTTGGGAAAGGAAAACAAAAGTCTTTCCATCACATATGGTAGAGATATATATTTATATATATTTATATATAATTTATTTTGTGGTTGGACATCCCAAAGCTGAGTCTGAGATACATACGTGTGTATGTGTGTGTGTGTGTGTATATATATATATATATATATATATATATATATATATACACACATACTTATTTATTTATTTATTTATTTTCCCCCTACTAATGCCTTCTCTTTTCCCAGCCCCTGTGGCCCAGGCCCAGGTTCTGGGGCAGGTACAGTGAGAGGTGAGTGGGATGGGCAGTGGTTGCCAGGGTGGCCTCACATGTAGCTTAGAGAGCTGGTGAGGACCATCCAGAAGAGGCTGTGCAGAGGGTTAGAGGCCACATAGAAGGGCACTCCTGTTTTTGTGGGGGATGCACAGCTCATTAAACAGTCACCAGTCATGGGAGGAGGCTGGTCAGGGACTGGGGGACTTGCTCACAGTAGTTGCCAGCTCTCTCCACCCTGCCCCCAAACTCTTGGGGGTAGAAGAATGAAAGAGAGAAATACAAGGGCTGAGGGCCAAGCCTCCTCTGATTTTTATTGCTGGTGAATTAGAAATTTGCTTTCTTAGAAGGGAAATTACAAGTTCCCTTCCTATCTTGGGAAGTTAGATTCTGAGAGAGCCACCAGAGAAGGAAATGACATTGGCTGTCCCAACTCCTACTGATGGCCATGCCAGGCCTCCCTGGGCAAATGCTGAGCCAACTCAGAGCTTGACAAGGAACCAAGAGGTTTGTGTTCCTCTTAGGTCAGCCTTGTTCTTCAAGTGCAATTGCATCCAACCCTCCTGGCACCCCAAAACAAGGGCCTCAGGCTCAGACTTGGGCCAGTGGAGCTGGGAAGTGGGCAGTGCACCAAAGATCAAGCAGAATTTTCTACTAGAAGAAAAGTGAGACTCTGGGGAAGAGGCAGCCTGGGAAGATGATGTTCTGAGCATGAAAGCAGGAAACTGGGGGAAGTGAGTGAGGGAAGACACAGGAAGACATCACAGACACTCATCTGACCTCAGAAGCTGGGCAAGGGGAGTGCCTGAGAGGCAGGTAGCACTTAATAGCTGTAGTTAGAGCCGACAGTGGCCATGGGTGTGGGGTAAGCCAAGCATCTGGGGCTCTTGCCCTGCAGGATCCTGGCCAGAAGGGTGAAGGTAGAAACCTCCAGATGACCCTTCGCAAGAACGTGAGGGAAGATCTCCCTTGGACACTAAGCTTCCAGCCCAACACACACAGAGGAATACACACTCAGGGCCAGGCCAGGTTCTGAGGCCTGAACCCAAGAGACCTTACGGGGGAGGGGCTGGGCAGGTAGCCCTCTCAACCACACAGGCAGGCCATCTGCTCCTACTTGTCCTGCCAATCTGCCCAGGGAGGGATAACACCACAGGAAGGAGAGAGGCCAGGAGCCCAGGGTCTGTCGGCCTTGGCAGACCCGTGCAGGCCCCTTCAGGCTCCACGGCCTAGGAAGTGAGCACAGAAAGCATCACTAGACACAAGTGGCCAACAACAGCAGCCCAGACTCCCTGAGGGTCTGGGGCATCTTATGGCACTGCAGGCCTGCTGCCTCCATCTCCAACAAGGGGCTGCCCAGAAAGGGGGCATGCTCCCTGCTGCCTGGGCTCTCATCCCTATGCACTCTGCCCTTTCCCCATTCTCTCCTTGAGAGGAGGGTCCGAGTGACTACCCACAGGGGCAGTACTGGAACTGGGAGGGCGTGAGGGGGCAGGGAGGAGCCTTGTCACAGCTGCTCTAAGAACCTCTTTGGTCTGGGGACATGGGGCACATTGGGAAGGGAAATGGAAGGGAGGGGAGGCTGGGGACTCTGGCCTTGAGACAGGGCACTTGTCAGAAGGCCACGTGCCCAGGTGGAGGATCAGATTTCTGTGGACTCAATGCGTTCAAGGCGGGAAGGGGTCCAGGCCTTCTTCTCCTCACCATGTTGCGGGGTAGGAGTGCTTGCACCCCCTGCTGCCCCACGCTCCCGAAGCCTCCGTTCCAGCTGCTGGTTGCGCTGGTACATCTCCACATAACTCAACTGCAGCTGCTTCTGATACTCAATGACCTTCTCTTTCTCCTCCAGCCAAACGCGGCGCTCCTCTGCAAAGCTGGCACCCTGGCGCTCCCGGGCTCTCCGCTCTGCTGCCAACTCAGCCTGCAGCCGCCCCACCTCCCGCCTTAGGGCCCGTGTCCCATTCTCCCCTCCAGCATCCACCTCCCCGTCCATGGAAACTAAGGAGGCAGCAGCTGCCACCCCAGCCTGACGGCGCATCTTGGCCTCATCACTTTCGCAGGTGGCCAGTGCCTCCTGTGGTTCGGCGGGGTCCACGGGGGTCAGTGCAGGCTTGAGGCAGGTGGCAGGCAGCTCACCTTCACCCAACTCCAGGCTGGCCTGTTTGCTGCCAAAGGAGTCCCTCAGGCTGAGCAGCTGCTCCTCCTTCTCCCGCAGTGAGGCCCGGCCCTCCCGCAGCTGTGAGCGCAGACCCACAATCTCACTCAGCTTCTGGGATACATCAGCCTGCGAGTCCTTCAGCTGCTGCTTCAGAAGGGAAATCTCCCCGGCCTTCTGGCACACCTGGGCAAGGGCAGGTGGGAGAAGAAGCCAGGATAAAGGCAGAGTTCTGCTCACCCCAACCCAATCCCCATATCCAACACCAGGGCCACCAAGCTTCCCCAGGACTCAGGCTCAGCCCTCCATCAGACCAAGCAAGGATAACACACCAGCCTCCCTGCTGGACTCAGGACATACAGGGTTCATCTGACATCAGCCCAGGGACAGTTTCATGTCCCAACAGACACTCCAAAGTCAATCTGGTCCCTCTATTCCTTTCTCTCACCCTTTAGATAGTGGTAGGCTACTGCTCTGGGGTTCTCCAGAGGGTCAGAGGAAGGGGAGACAGAGGGGAAAGCCCCCAGCCCGCACCTCCCACTTAGTTTCCTCCATCCGGGGCAGGAAGTCGGCCTGCTCCTTCTGGCAGGCGGCCACCTTGTCCTCTAGCTCTTCCCGCTGCCGCATCAGCCGGGCCGCCTCTTCCTGAAGTTGCTTCTTGTCCTGCTGCAGCCGCAGCACCTGCAGCTGTAGTCCCTGCTGGGCTCGCTGGGCACGGCGGGCCACCTGCTGCAGCTTCCCGCTACAGCCCTGCCGCAGCTCCGCTAGCTCTCGCTCCCATGCCTTCTGCCGTTCCTCCAGCACCTGGGCCACAGCTGCCTCGCTCTGCTCCAGACTGCGCCGCAGAGCTGCCACCTCCTGCTCCTTCTCCCATAGCCGCTCCTCCAGCTCCTGGATCAGTGCACTGGGCGAGGGTGGTGAGCAGGCTGCAAATGGCAGGCCTCCACCTCCACCCTCCCCAGATCCCAGGTGGCTTGGCCGCCCCATGGATGATGATGACCCACTCTTGCTGGAGGCCCGCCCACTGTCAGAAGTCCCCAGGTCCTGGTAGCCCGAACCCCCACCACTGCTGCCACTGCCATAGCTGGCAGTGCCGATGCGGTTGATGTGACTGGTAGAAGCACTGAGGGGCGCCAGGTGCTGGCTGTAGCTGGAGCTGTAGGTGGGCAAGCTTGTGAGTGAGTTCCGGCCTGAGTCTGAGAGGCCGCCCCCACTTCCGCCTGCTGGGGTCATGGTCCGAGACTTTTCTAGTCCACCCTTGAGGCCACCAGGGCCCTGTCGTCCCTCAGGGGTCCCATTGGTCTGCGGGGGACACAAGTTCTGCATGGAATGGAAATTCTTGGGTACAACAGGCTTGAAGGCTGATGGCCGAACTAGTGGTTCTGAGCACTGTGCAAAAGCAAGGAAAAGCAGTGAGCATCAGAATGAGTCCTTGACCTTGGCTCAGCCTCTTCCCTTTAGCTGAGCCTTGTTCAACCCCACATCCTACCCCTGTGGGTTTCCACTTGGTATCTCCCCCAAGCCAGGTCCCTGTCCTGGATCCCCCAGCTGGTCTTGGCCTCAGGGCCCCACTCCATAGCTCTTTGGCCCAGCTTGCCTCCTGGCCCCTATGATCCAACCTCCAAGAAAGCCCTCCTTGCCCATCTCTTTGAACTACTTCCCACCCCAGAAAAAGGTTGTGACGGTCTCAGGCCCTAGAGACTGACCTGGTCTAGCTTGCCAGAGGTGGCCAGGAGCTTGGGTGGGTGGCTGGGCTCACGATACTGTGGTGGAGCCTTGTCACTGCCACCGCTGCTGCTGCTGCCACCGCTGCTACCCACCACATTGCCGCAGACATCTGTGTGGTCACTGCCCCGCAGCTCGCCGTTGAGGTAGAGGGAGTTGGCGAGAGCCTTGTCCTCTGAGGGGTATCGGCCTGGCCTCTCCCTGCTGGTCCCACTGCCACTGCCTCGGGGGCCTGGGAAACTGCCCTGGTTGCCCCCACCCCCTGTGCGGGTGCCCACGCTCTTCATGGCGAACTCTTGGGCATGGGCCACCCCACTGCCCACACTGCCCATGGCCAGGCGGGGGTCTGGGGGTCCAAGCTCAGAGGGCCGTGGGGCAAAGGCCAGGAGGGGATCCCGCCCTGGGTCAGCACGCACGGGAAGTGTCTCGAGCTTCGCCATGACTAAGCCAGGAGGGCACTGTGGGCACAGACGGGAAGGTAGAGAGGTCAGACCCCACCCCTATTCCCACCACCCCAGCCAAGTCAACCCCAGCACCACCCTGCCCCTCAGTGTCCCCTTTCCTAATGTAGAAGAGTTCCCAGACATTCAAAGTGAAGGAATAGGGATGAGTAAGAGTAATAGCTTGTTAATGGGGGCTGCCTGTTGCCCCAGGGCACTCCACTCCTCAACCTGTGCTTCAAACCCACCTCATCCATAAGCCTCCCAGACTCATGAACCTCTCTTTGCTGCAACTCCCAGAATTTAGTTCTTTACCCTGGGTCAGGGCCTCTACATCTCAGCCTCAGTGGCTAGGGAAATGGGGTTGGGAGAGAAGTACCTGAATCCATTAGGGAACCTCAGAAGTTAGGGGAGGGCCAGAGACACAATAATTCTATTAAAAAATTGAAGGCAATGGTCTTTCCCAGCCCCCTACCCTAAGGTGTTGCAGTCAAGGGTGGAAGTGGAAGCTCACTACCAGCGCAGGCTCCTCTCCTTGCCTTTCCAAGGGAGTGGGGGGCCGATGGGTCCTCAAGCCTGGGACCCTCCGAGGCCCGGTCTGCAGGGGCCATGTGGCTGACTCTCGCAGTCGGGGCTCGGCCCGAACCAGCTGCGCGACTTTGGACGGGCCGACTGAGCCATCCTCTGCGAAATGGGAGGAATGAAGAACCTACCTCGCGGAGCTGCCGCTCGGCAGGTGCCCCGAGGCTACGTGCACGGGAAGGAACCCGGTCACCAGGTTGGGTGGGCGGAGCTGCCCCTGCAGCATGCGCGGGTGTCGCGGGAGGGCGGTGCCATGGGCACGCAGACTGGACTGACCGAATGCAGGCCGAAGCTGCAGCAGGTGGCAAGGGAGGTCTTCCCAATTCGTCTGCAGAGGGCCTGGCCCGAGAGGGACCCCCTCCCCGACGTCAGTACTACACAGAGGCCCCCAGGCTGACAGAGGCCAGGACTGGAAGGCAGTGCTGCCGGCTTCTGGCGCTGGCCGAGCCTCCCTCGGGGCCTACATCTCCCACAGGTGGGGTGGGGGGCGGCCTTTGCACTCCACGGTGCTCCAGAGGATCTTGCACCTGCTGAACCCTGCCAAGAATGCACTGCCACCAGGAAGATTTCCTGGATTGCCCCCTCCCCCGCTCCCTGTGGACTTTGATCCTGTTCAGTTCACCATGAAGTCAATTCTGTGGATGTGCGCCCCCTCCCCCAAGGCAGGCCTGCAGAAAGAGGGGGAGCAGGGCCTCGGATTACCTGAGCTCAGGCAGGCCTGATTTCCTGGTTCCTTTGTCTCAAGTCTGCACCTGGGAACACCTGTCACCGAGATCTACATAATCCAGCTGGACAGGGGCACTAGGGTGCTAGCAGCTGGCTAGATGGCTCAAGATGGCTCAAACTCTAGTGCCTTTCAGGCCTTTAAACCTCCTGCCCCCACCCAGGTTCCACCAGAAACTGGGCAGGAAGCCCTCCTTCTCTATTAAGTGAAGGAATCCAACCTCCCTTTGAGTGTTCTGTAGACTGTCTTCTAATGATGTCCAGTGTTAATGTTGTATTGTCCCCTCAGGCCCCCAAACAAGGAAGCCTGGTAAAACCCTTGCTCTTCAGGATCTTCAGGCCATATCAGCCTTAGATGGTGGGTAAGTTCACCGCCAAACTGGTCTATTAAATGGAATGTAGCATTCCATTCTCTCAGTCTTTCCCCACAGGTGTGGAAAACAGCAAATTTTCACCACCCTCATCCCTTCTGCAAGTCTATCCCCATAACCAGCAGTGGCACTAAGCTGGGCAAGAGAGGCACATAGGGCACAAGTGAAGTGCAGGACGTGCAGGTACACCCACAACCCTGAGAGTGAGGCCTCTGTTGCCTCACCCTAGTATCTGCCTCCACTCCATCCTGGCTGCTACTCCTTGGCTTTGAAACCCCTCCTACCCTAAACATGGCCCCCTTCTCTCAACATCCCTCAGTGAAGTATAGGAAGCAGCTAGAATTGGGAGGATGGTTGCTGAATGGCCTGAAGCTTGAAACCAGTGGGGAGGCCTAGGCAGGGTTTGGAGAGGAGAAACTGGCAAAGCCTCATACAGCTGGGTTTCAGGTAGTAGGGACAAGGGAAATGTCTGGGTTGGGGCACCAGGGGGGGTAAAAACAAGGGAAGAGTCTGAGCTGAAGCATAAGGGTGGGTGGGACACCCTTAACATAATGGGGAAATTGCTTGAGAGAAATAGGTCTTAAAAATAAATTTTAAAAAGTGTGTGTGTGTGTGTGTGTGTGTGTATATATATATATATATATTTGTAGGTGAACACAATACATTTATTATTTATTTTATTTTTAAGTGGTGCTGAGGATTGAACCCAGTGCTTCACCTGAGCTAGGCGCGTGCTTTACCACTGAGCCACAACCCTGGCCCTGAAATAGGTCTTTTTGAGAAGACCAGAGAAATAATTCTCATGCACTGAGTGGAGTGAAAGACTCGAATCTTCAGCATACAAGGGCGGTGTGGGTGGGCCCAGCCTCCAACTAAGGCAGAAGAGCCCCATAAGTCTGGGTGACAGTGTGGGAGATAGAAGGCATCTAGGAGAAGCTGGGCCCTGAAGACCAAGACGGAGGGGGGGACTCAAGAATGTGGGGGCAAGCTAGATGCAGTGGTGTACACCTATAGTCACAGCTACTCAAGAGGATCACTTGAGCCCAGGAGTTTAATACCAGTCTTAGTTTTGGTGACATAGCGAGACTCCATCTCAAAAAAGAAAGAAAAACAAAATGTGGGATGTGGGGGTAGCTCTCAGGGTTAAAAAGAAAAGGGCCAGGTAAAAATTGGGATTACAGAGTGTGCCCTGGATTTGGCAGTTGAAGATATCACTGGTGTGTGTGTGTGTAAGAATGGTTTCAGAAAAGTAGTACAAGGGAAAAGCAGACCACAGGGGTGGAGGGGTGCAGAGAGATGAAATGGCAGAATTCCCTGCTAACAGAGGCCAGAGAACACCATCATTTAAGGAGGTTTGAAATCTCAATGTTTGTTTTCTTTTTTAATTTTAAAATCAAATATGATAGAAACTTGAGTGTGCTGATATGCCAAAGAAAGGCACCACTAGTAAAATTAAAGATCTAGGCAGGGTAGCTAGCAAGGGGGCTGCATCAGAAGCCAGGAATGAATAAGAAGAAATCTCAGACATGATAATGTTGATTGTGAGTGACAGGGCTAATGCTTGGGAAGGTACTTTCTAAACCGTAAGATACAGCACAAACATGCAAAACCACCTTCTTTGAGATCCAGGAAAAAATAATCTGACCATAAATTTGAGTTGGTCATATGCCAATCTGCCCCACTCTTTCTCTAGCCTGTGTGTTATTTCCCACTAGGTTCACATGCCCAGAGCTCTGGATAGAAATGACACTGTCCTGAACCTTCTTTCCTTGTGCTGTACCTGGGGAATCCTTGATTGTCATTCTACAGAAGCTTTCTCTGGAGCCCAAAGAGCTTCTTGCCATAATTCTACTCTGTCATGGTCAACCTCTTGCAAGTGTTCCCTGCCCCCCTTGCCTCTCCCAAGATTAGACTGCTGCTGGTACTTTCCTCAAAAACCTGACAGGGAGCTGGAAGGACAAGGAGTTGGGATATTTTTTACTGCTAAGAAGGAATTAAGCTGAGAGGAAGGGTTGTGCTTCCTTTGTGGGTCAGGGTCTTGCACTGGCCCAGGTAACAGTGCGATCTGAAAAGAAAGCTTCATGGCATCAAACCATGTCATCGAACCACGACAGCCTTGTTTCCACACTCTGCCTCTATCTCTGGCTTATTAATACTCAATGCGTGTGACATTACAGTTTAAGTGGTCACAGAGGGACCTACGGGTTACACATGAAAGTCCCTCCAATCCATAGAAACCACCTCGCTCCTCACCACCTGTATTCCCCCAAAGCTAGAACACTTGAAGTCCCAGAGGCCCCCAAGTCCAACTCAGTCCACCCCCTAAAGATCTCAGCAGCATCTCCTGCCAGCACCTTTGCTGAGTCTTCTCAGTGGCCCTTCTTCTGCACCCCCTTCTTGAGCTGCAGCCAAGAGACTCTTTCTAAAGGGCAAAGCCATTCATGTTCTTACTCTGCCCAAATCCTTCCATGAGCTGGGTCAAGTGCAGAAGATGGAGTTCTGGCTCCATCAGCTCCAAGTGTAAATCACAGCTCGACTGATTGGAGTGGAACCAAATGTAGGTTGTTTCACCTCAGATTCTCACATTTACCTTGCAGGAATTTTAAGAAGCAAATGTATTAAGGGCAAATTGCTTGATACTCCTCTTGGTCCCCAGAATCAAGCAGAGCTTGCAGCAGTGTCCCCAAGGTCCCTCCTGATGCCCATCCTTTATCTTCCTTGACCTGAGCTCCTCTCCACTCCACATACAACCTCAGCTCTCTGTGCTCATCCTATAGCCTTGTAGAATCAGTCCAAATGCTGTCAATACAGCATCCCTGATATATCTCAGGGGTCTTGGAGCACTTAGCTCAGGACACCCCAGGACAAAAATGAAAGAGTCCTCAAGGTTTCTGGGCCCTGGCACCAAGAAAATGCAGGGTGAATGCCTATGGGAACGCTAGTTATGAGCAATGCAAATAGGTAATGAACACAGGCAGAGAAACCAGGAAGGGCTTCCAGGAAGGACTGAGGGAGGAAAGGGATCCAGGGGCACTGTAGGGCTCTGGGGGTACAGAGATCTCCAGAACTTCTTGGTTGGGATGTGTGAGGGGAGATCCATCTTCCCTTGGAGGCATGGACACTATCCTGGCTCTGTTGAAGCCCATGTTTCAGGACTGAGGGGGCCGACAGCTCACCCCCACACATACCCGGAGCTCACACACGCGCGCACACACGAGCCTCCACTGGGGGTGGGGGTCGCCATTCACCAGCAGCCCACAGCGCACAGCACCACAGGCCATCCGCAGGGGTGCCCAGGGGGTCTCTGCTGTGGGGAAAATCCCGCCCGCACCTCCTAGGGCTACCCACCGACGCGTGTGGCCCTGGGGGGCGGGGCGCAGAGGGAAGAGGTGACATAATCCGGACCGCACCCCCTCGGGCCGCCATCCCCCCCCACAGGCCGGGCGAAGCATCCATGACATCATTGGCCTCCTCTACATTTCCCCTCCCCCGCCCCCGGGACCCTAGCAGCGGGATGCGACCCCTCCCCAGCTCCCAGTCGGGACAGACGCGCCGAGCCGTGCAGCAGGCACGGCGGCGGGTTGGAGCGAGAGGGGTGACGCGGTGGGCCTGCCTCACTTACTCGCTGCCCCGGGGTCCGGTGTAGGGTCTCCGACGCGGGCACCACGGGCCCGACTAGCTGGCGCAGCCCGAAGCCCGCCCGGCGGGGCGCGCGGCGCGGGCCCGGCTCGGCTTCGCGCCCCTCCCGCTCTCCGCCCGGGCCCCGCCCACCAGCGGCTGCGGCAAACGCGGGCCCGCCCCCCGGCCACGCCCCCCGGGACCACCAATCCCCGGGCTGGGGCGGGGCACGGTGATTTAACCCGTTAGTCTCTGCGTCTCCGCCCGCACGTGGGACCCCTCCGTCTCACCAGCTGCAGGATGCTTAATAGTCTGCCCGAGTCCCTCGGCTTGTCATTTGTCACCCGTCCTCTCAAGTCCTTGGACTTAGTGCCCTAGTCTCTCCTAACAAATCCTGTGGGACTGCGCCGTCCTTGAATCTAAGATTTTGCTATGGGAGATGAGCCCCTCTGGTTTCGAAAAAGGGATCCCAATTCCGAGCCCCAAACTCCCATTCCTCTCCGGCTTTGGGGAGGCGGCCTCCAGGCGGACTCGTTTAGATCTTGAAAGACTTCGTGGTTGGGACTCAACGAGCCTTTGCGGGTGTATCCGACCCAGCCGCCCGCCGGGTCACGGGGACCACAGGCACGATCGTGGGAAGCTCGAGGGCCAATAACTACGTCAGCCAGCAAACCCAGAGGATTTGAAACTTGCTGCTCGCGAAGGCTCACGGTCTCCAAGGTGCAATGAGGAAAAATATGCATTACATTCCGGCAGGGTTTGAGCGCTTTCACCTTGTGCGGGGTCCCTCCCTGGTGTAAGGCCCGGCCCAAGTCCCTGTGTTGCATCCCTGAGTGAGAAGCAGTGGCGGGGACTTCATCCCTGACCCAGAAAGCCAGCTTCCTTCACTGCGGGGAGTGCTCGATGACTTGGGAGGACTGCTAGGAGTAAGGAGTCAGCCTTGAATTGTGGCCTTAGCCTCGCTTAGTGTGGCGAAACAAGTTAGACCTGGGGTCAGGCACTAGCAAAGCCTGGAGGCACAAGGGTCTGAGGTAAAAACCGCAGCGCCTCCACTCTGGCTGGGATTTAACCCATTATATTTCTGCTGCGATAGCTGATGTGTTTGCTCATTCTATTTTGTAATTTTTATTTCTTGTTGTTTTAAATTCCCCCCCCCCACATTTGCTTTTATTTTATATAGTGGTTTTTAAGGCAAAAACCTTGTTTTTAGTTCTCCTAATGACTTCCTTTAAATTTATTTTTATGTCACTATATGACAAATCATTCTTTTTTATATTATTTATGTAAAGAGAAATATTAAATGTTTTCGAATGTCACATAATTGTATGTATTTGTGAGGTTGTAATAAGAAATTGAATGTGCTTTTTGCCCTCATACCTATTTATATTTGTCCACTTTTGACAGGATGACAGACCTTCCTTTTGCACTTTTTTTTTTAAAGAGAGAGAGAGAGAGAGAGAGAGAGAGAGAGAGAATTTTTTAATATTTATTTTTTAGTTTTCGGCGGACACAATATCTTTGTATGTGGTGCTGAGGATCGAACCCTGGCTGCACGCATGCCAGGCCAGCGCGCTACCGCTTGAGCCACATCCCCAGCCCTCCTTTTGCACTTTTTAAGCCACAATATTATTTTTTTCAGTGGTAGAAGGTTTGCCTATTATGCAGGAGGCTCTGGGTTCCTCCCAACCCTGCTTTTGGGAATAGAATTCAGGGACAAGGGTGCTCCACCATTGAGATACATCCCCTTCTTAAACATGTTTTCTCTCTCTCTCTTTTTTTTTTTAGCCCTTAGCCACTGAGCCATATCCTCAGCCCTTTTTGTCTAGTTTGAGACAAAGGTCTCACCAAGTTGCTTAGGACCTCTCTAAGTTGCTGAGGCTGGTTTTTGAACTTGTGATCCTCTTGCTTCAGTCTCCCTTACAGGTGGGATCCACTGTGCCCACCTCTTT